CTTACCACCCTCTATAAGCGACGAGCTTCGGTCTAAAGCGACGGCAATAGCGCTTCACACTAATCTGAACATCGATGGGTGTATGTATTACAAACCCCCCCAAGCTCGACGGTACCCAGTCTTTATTGCTGGTACCCCAAAAATTTTTCCGTTTGCTCTTCGACGCCCATCACAGTAAAGCACTCTCTGGAGGACATACTAGTTGGAAAAAGACCATAGCTAAACTGCTTCGTAAATATTACTGGCCAACAATCCATTGCGACGTCCGTAAATGGTCTGAGGAATTCCTCACCTGCCAAATGCTTCGTAATCCCAAACCTGCTTTCTGCGAGCGTTTGACTCCTGTGCATAGCGAAGCGGTATTTGCAAAGGTTGGTATCGACCTTTGCGGCCCATTAAAAACCACGGAACGAGGAAATAAGTACATTCCCAACACGGTATGCTGGTTCACACGATACGTTATCTCCACCCCACCTCCAGACGCACGTGCAAATACCATCGCGCATGCCCTTCTCTCTGACTGCGTCCTCAAGTACGGCCCTATGTCTGAGCTTGTCTCGGACCAGCCAATAAGCTTCACATCTCATCTCTACCAGGAACGGGGCAACAGAACGCACATTCCGCACATTCCAATCTATGCTCTCTAAGTTCATCAACTTAAAGCACGAACTGGGACTTGTTCGTTCCTTGCGTAACCTTTTGTTATAATACATCTGTTTACGAAGCAACGGGTGAAACACCCTTTTTCTTGATGTTCGGACGGGACCCGGTGTTTACCATCGACCGCATCTTACTCGCGCAAACCAGACCCCAGATACCGCCCTTTATGCGAAACCGACGAATATAGAGCGCAACTCGTGTCCGCACTCCACTTGGCATGGAAGCAAGCCGCGGAACATGCGCACACCTACAAACAATCAATGGCAGCGCAGTTCGATGAAGCAGTGCGTCCGTCCCAGATCAAAGCAGGGGACCGAGTGTTCTTCCGCAACTACACTAGCAAACAGGGACTTGCAAGAAAACTCTGCTTTCCATGGATCGGACAATTCCGAGTCCTTAGCGTCGACTCACCCCACGCTACTATATTGAGTATAACATCTCCGCAGTCCAAACCCGGTCGGGTTCACCTCAACCAAGTCAAAAAGGTAATCGACTACAGCGGACCCGCATCAACGCTTCCTACCATCCCGGAAGAGGAGTCCTTTCTCAATGCATTTCCCACCGGCGATATAACAGGCCATCAGCATGATTTAGCGCCGACTTTGCCTACGACCCCACAACAGGCTCTAGAAAGTCCTACTCCCCCCGTAAGGTACAACTTGCGACCGCGGAACCACGACCGGTAGCTTCTTCATCTCTCTAGATCATAATAACCTCTATTCATCTAGCTTCAGTAGCTCTTCAATGTCAAAGTACCCATGCACGCCATACTACTGTGCTTACTGTGTCACATACTATATTATATTAACCTATCGCTCCACAAATCATTCCCACTTATTCCGTTTCGGCTACTTCATCATGATCTCATCCCTCTCTCGCTCATCGCCTTCAACTTTACCACGTGTTACGTCGTCTCGTAACGTTCTTCAAACACACTTGATTTTCGATACTCACACCTTGCAGGTAATATGTCTGGTTCACCCGCCAGAGACACACCCCGTCTTGAAAACGTTGATACTCACGATTCCCAGAGCGTCACCTCTTCACAGGGACCCTCGGTCATAACAGTATCAGCCAATACTAGCCTACAATGCGGTATCTTCTTTTACTGCCACCTTCGTTGACAAAATGACACATTAACCGTTTATATGACAATGTCTAATACATTCTAGATGATTGTCGAACCCTGGAGCAGTCCGATATCGACGACCTTATGGATCAATTGCCGCTCGAAGAGGCATTCCAGCTCCTGTATGACGAGAAAGAGGCGCCAACCACCGACGACGAGCGTTCATGTGAAGCTTCGTCGCAACCTAATCAGCCCATTACCTACCCGGAGGTATCGGCGACCAATAACAATAACAATGCTGGAGACAGCACAACATCGCAAAAAAAACACTGATCCGCGACCACCGCGCCAGCCATACCCCGAAAATATCATGGAGTCCACCCGCCAGTACGGCCAATCTGTTATCTCACAGGAAAGTGCGTTGGGAAATGAACCCACATCAAGCCACCCACGTAAAAGTCCTTTCGAAATTCCCTTGGAAGAGGAAGGAATTGAGTTTGAAACCGAGCAGTTCGTTAACCACCGTTGGAGCCACCTTCTCGCAATTAAAATACGCCCCAAGGCATCACCCTATTACGATCCTGAATTACCTGCTTCAAAATTTGAGCGCATCACCGCAGCAGGTTATAGCCGGCCGTCACCGTTCATCGAGCATAGCGGCGCCCACACCTCTAAAGGTCGCCCGGCGTCCATCCTGGAAGCCGTCGGACCGCAAGCCATAGAAAGCTTTCGCCAGCGCCACTCCTTCTTAGATCTATATCAAACGCGTATTGAAGGCAGGGAGTCCCCCCTTCTGGCACCTGCGGAAAAAGCATCCGCACGCGAAATGCACAATTACGTCCGGGGATTGTGCATCCACAAGGAATCCACCCAGTATTATATCGCGTAAAATCCCTATTTGGTACGGGAGCGCGCCTTGAAACCGTGCACATGGAGGTTCCCCTACCCGATCGCATGGACCTCCACACTGTCATGCTTGACCAATTCTCCGTCAACATCCTAACCGGAAAACATCGGATCGATGTCTTCCACATTTTGATTGGTGACCTCGTATTGGTATACACCCTACTACCGTCCACCAAGTACATGAGAGAACGTCTCCCCTACCTAGAAACCGTAGAAGAGGCGAGTCACCACCGCAAGCCTACAATATGGCGCGTGGACGAATTTGCTTTTATTCACCGAGATCTTACTGAGACACTCGGATACATCGTTTCTGTCACGTCAATCTATTCTAGCCAACACACAGGTCACCATCAAGACTGTTGATAGCGCACAGGGTTCAGAAAAGTCCATCGTCATACTATGCATACGCGCACCAAGGTGCTATGCACTAACCTCACCTTTTTCGATGACCCCAAATGCCTTAACGTCACGCTGTCCAGGGCCCGTGACGGCATATTCATCCTCGGCTCAGTACCGTTAATGGAGAGTTCGCCTCTGTGGGGTTCCATTATCCGTTGGTGTCGTTCCCGCTGGGTACTCGCCACCCTAGATTTCTTTCGGGACCGCGTTACCCCCAACATTAACCCCACGAGTCTGAGGTCGGACTCTTTGCAAAAGGGGGAGATGTAAAGGATGGGTAAAGCGCAAGTTAGCAAAATACATTTACTAGCCCCGAGGTTTACGGTAAGGTTAATGTTTACACTTCAGTTTGCCTTCGCGTCAATTCTCAGCTTCATCTTATGTTTTCAGACGGCAGCGGAGATAAGGCTGGGAACTGTACAAAAGCCGCGCACGACCGTACCCGAGGCTTTTCTGGCTCGCTGGTACTCTGACTACATCTACCCAGGACGTCATCACGTTTCGGCGGACCTCACCACCATTTCCGAATTACTCAACCTAGTGACCAACGGCCGACGACACTGGATGGGTCTCGTGCTCGTCTGTCCCCAGGCCAGAGGCCCCGGAGCCATTCTTCATATCCGCATATGTTCATGTCGCTATATCGCCTGTATTACCGCATGTTATCAATCGTGTTCCGGTTCTATATTGTGTCTTAAGGATAAACGATATCATGTACGAGGTGTTATGCCTTGGATAGGCCATGACCCGAGGCTGAGATTGGTGGGTACAAATGATCCCGATGGGCCGGATCATTATTATATCATACATCATTTGGAATGGGCAGACTTGGGAATGAAGGTCGACGGTCACAACCTACATCACCTCCGCTTTGCAGACGACATCGTGCTTACAACACCAAACATCGAGCAGGCGGAACGAATGCTGGCCGGATTTGATAGTGCTTGTGGAAAGATCGGCTTGAGACTGAACTTAACGAAGACTACGGCAATGAAGAACGGTTTGGTACCTGATGCTCCTTTCACGTTAAACGGAACGAAATCTCCGAATGCTCTAGCTATGCGTATCTAGGTCGGGAAGTCAACATGATGAACGACCTAGCTCCAGAGCTGTGCAGAGGGAAACGCGCCGCGTGGGGAGCATTTAAGAATATCGAGGGAGTAGTGAAGAAGGCAAAAACATCCGGCTCCGCACTCACCTTTTCGACACTGTTGTCCTTTCTGCTTTGA